TCAAGACATTTTCCCTGCAGTGAATCATCTGACTATGGTCACCTTTTACACTACATTAAGTAATTTATTGTCACTTGCAAGGGTTTGGGAGCCTGAAATTGAAAATAAAAAGAGAGAATTTTTTTCAAGTATGCTCTGTACTTATGTAGGAAGATTTTTTTTAAAAAAAAAACCTGTTTTCATCCTGCTCAACTCAAATCAATATTGCATTATCTCAATACGATAGTCTTACTGTTACATAATAAAATTGCTTACCTCTTAATATGATATTCTACAAGGATTTCATTTGCTGAATGTACATAGTTATACAGGAGTCAAATTGAACTGTGAAAACTGATGGTATTCAAATGAATTAAAATTCAATTTCATAAAGGCATGATTTACATGGAACCTTGAATTAGCTTCAAATAAGTTTGGTTTTACTACTTAGAGAAAACTTTTTTTGCACGGAATATCAGATCTATAGCCTAGAAACTATAAAAGAAGGCAGTGGCAAATCACTCATACTGCCAATAAAACATGTGCCCATCAAGTAATCAGAATAAGTACTGCAGTACAATTTAATGGGTCTCCTTTTTCCCCCTAATTAAACTCAGTGGCTACAGTGATCAAAAGATTTAGTGAAAAAGAGCTAAACACAGATGTTTGCTCATTGAACAGAAGGCAGCAATACAATGAGAGGAGAAGGATGGATAGTGACTAGTCCCATGTAAAATAAAGGACAGCATTTCCTACATATTGTTACACATACTGTAGATGTGTATGAATTAATGGGATTCACTTACCTTCCCTATCGGTTTGCAAATGTGAGAGCATGTGCAGAAGGTCACGCATTACGTGGGAGTGGGTGGGCGGAGCCACCTGCAGCAGCCACTATTGGTTCTCCCAAACTGGAGAGAACTGGCTGGATACCACCTCTAGAATGAATGGCTCACACATAGAAGAGAACAATAAGCCACAAATAAAAAAAAAATATTATTATGTAAAAATATTGCCAGTTTTCAAAGTCCAATTTTAGCAAGTTATTCAGAGCTGTGGTGGTACAGTGGTTAGGATGCAGTATTGCAGGCTAACTCAGCTCACAGCCAGGAGTTCGATTCTGATTGACTCAAAGTTAACAGCCTTACATCCTTTTGAGGTTGATAAAATGAGGGCTCAGATTTTGGGGGGATAATATGTTGACTCTATAAACCACTTAGAGAGGCTGTAAAGCACAATGAAACAGTATATAAGTCTAAGTGCTAGGTGCTATTCAGCTGGCAAAAATAAAACAAGTTGTCCAAAATTTCTTTCTCTTTGACCAAGTTTCTTTTACTGATTTCTCTTAAGATTTTATAATATGTTGCCTTTTTTACCAATGTTTTTTATTCATAGCTATCACACAGCAAGCCCATTTTGTGTAGTGATTAAAGCAGGGGTGGGCTGCTGGGGGTTTGCATGGGTTCGGGAGAACCTCTAGCTAAGATTCTGTGTTGTTGGGAGGACCCCCAAATCCCACTCCTGGCTGGCCCCGCCCACCTCTCCCCTCCCAGGTGTCCCCACATGGCCCGTTTTGGATGCAGATAAGTGCAGAATGCATGCAGAGGCTCGGGGAGGGTGAAAAATGGGCCCACCAAAAGTTCAGGAAGGCCAGAAATGGAGCCGTTTCTGATTTCCAGAGGGCCTCCGGAGCCTGGAGAGGCTGTTTTTGCCATCCTGGACACTCGAGGAAAGCCTATGGAGCTGGGGGAGGGCAAAAAAAAGACAATGGCAAATCATTTCCAAAACTGTTATCAAGAAAATTGAGATTGGTCCATGTTGTCTTCCGGAGTCAAAGGTTCACTGTTCCCCAATTAATAATAAATGGTCAGAATTGCATTCACTCATTGCAAGTAACATGTTGACTGTGATTTGCAACTGCCATTTTGAATTTAATAAATATATTTGAAAACAGTAAAAAATGGTGGCTTGTGATACTGGACAGTTTGTTTATAATTATTGCAACTTAAAGGTAAAGGTTCCTCTTGCACATTCCGGACTCTAGGGGGTGGTGGTCAGTTCTGTTTCAAAGCTAAAGAGCCAGTACTGTCCAAAGATGTCTCCGTGGTCATGTGGCCAGCATGACTAAATGCTGAAGGCACACAAATTGCTGTTACCTTCCCATCAAAGTAGTCCCTATTTTGGCAGAAGCTAGGACAAGTAACGGGAGCTCACTCGGTTACATGGTGCTAGGGAATCAAACCACTGAACTGCTGACTTTTCTGATCGACAAGCTTAGTGTCTTAGCCACTGAGTCACTGTGACCCTTTATTGCAATTTATCTAACTATAAAATGTTAAAAACTCATGAATTAGTATTGGGGTAAAAAAAAAAAAAACCTAGACATTTTTCATATTGAAAAGGTGTATAAGCTTTTTAACATAATTTTGCATTTATTCATGATAGGTGAATTGTTACAAATAAAAAACAATGTTGAATATAAATATGATTGGGACCTGGAATTGTTAATAGAGGCATATTTTGGTTTTGTTAGTTTACTTACTACACAGAGAACTACACAACTCTTCGTTACTTTCCCAAAATATTGCCGTTAGAATAGAAAGCAGTAGAAGGTTGCACTTGATAAAATTTGTGAAAATTTCTAAGGGTTTCACAAAGAGACCTGAGGATAAAAAACAATGAAAACAGATAGTGGATCGCAAGAAGGAGGAAACATAAAGGGTTATTTTGGAAAGGTTTCTGGAGAGTTTGAAGGGAAGTTGTGAAGGGAAATAAGGCTTTATGGATAAAGCTGTTGAGAGAGAAGGAAGGGGCAAGTATATTGATTTAATTCTTGAGAGTGGAGAAATGATGATGGGGAAGGAACAGAATCTGTGTAGTGTTTGGCTCCCAGCCATATGGAAATTGTGGTGAGAGGCTCTTAGGCTTAGGAGCTTTAGCCAATCCTGTTATAGGTTTTAACTAGCAAAAGATTTGTTGTTCTTAGCTTCCAGAGGCTAGTTCACTGGCATATATCTTCAGTGAATACCTCTAAGACTATTATCGTAATGGAAAGGAAATATTTCATACTGAATGTGAATTATTTCTTGGTGGCAATAATATGAGCAATGGATGAAAGCTTAAAGCTACAAAGCATGTATAGGGATAGACCAGTGTTTTTCAACTTGACAAGTTTAAGATGTGTGAATTTCAACTCCCAGAATTCCAGGGAATGCTAATTCAGAATAGAATATATATATTCTGAGTTATGTGTCTATGGGGGTGGGGGTGGCAGTCAGAACTCCAGAATCAGGTTGTAAGTAGCTCTGGCAAGATCAATCATAATTTTGCTAAGTGGATGGTCATTAAACCAGGGTTAACTGTAGAGTTAAATTATTCATAATTATTGGTTGGGTTTCCAGATAAAGTCACTATGAAAAAGAAATGATGACTACTGTACTATTATTCAATTGAATCCAAAGCAAACTAAGTTGACCAAAACTTTATCTAACTGTGTATGTTTTATATCACCTAAATACAACATTTTTAATACATACATTGTGATTTTTTAAGGGGGGGGGCCTATTCTGGAGCAAGATTTGAGTTGTTGTACTCCATGTATTTCTACCACTTGGCATATTGTGGAGAGGATATGCATATGCGGTACCTCAGCCATCAAAAATACTGCTTATGTTTTGTTCAACTATCAATTACATGCCTCCTTAGTAAGGCATAGATACTTATGTAAGGCATAGATACTTACCATCCCTATTGGAAAAAACAACCAATTGGAATTTCTTTTTTAATTTTTTTTTGAAAAACTTTTATTGTTAAAAGAATAAAAAAGATGTTGGACATGGTGAAGCCAATTAGAATTTCAATCACAGATTTTTTTATTTCCTCCTGGACTCCAATGTATCTATTGTAAGCAGAACTGCTAAGTTTATAATTAAGGCAATTAAGCAGAAAATCTAATACATCAAACAAATTGAGGTACCCTCCTGGAAGAGAGATGCATTTGCCTGATTGCTGACTACTTGTATTACCAGATATGTGTTTCATCACTATATTTCCTTTTATGTGTTTTATCATGGAATCAGATTGTGTACATTATTTTCTTCCTTTTATTGGTGAGATCGTAAGAATAATCAAATAAAAAACTGTTCTAATCTAGACAATGAAAATTCTCTTTAAGAAATTCTTGTTCTATGTATTTCTCTTTTTTCTATATTGCTTGGTTTAATTCTAAAAGATAAGATATTGTTTGTTTGTTTTATTTGAATTTGACTTTCCTTCTTTTTAGCTTTTCATTTAGAGTGTTTTATCTCCTAGACCTGCTTGTGAGAGCCAAAATCTTTTGTTTGTTCTTATGTTTGTCCTGAAAAATGTTCTTCATATTTATAATCATCTATCTTACAACTTATGACATCAAACTAAAATACATTATTTGGAAATATATGTTGTTTATTCCTATATCTTGCATTATTAATTGAATTATTGTTAGATGGATTAGTCTAATTTTGTTTGTAATGTCTTTTACTCCACGTTCATTCATAACTCCATTTTGTCATATTTGTCATAAATGTATAATGTTTAATTTAAAAACTTAAGAAAATAATATTTATGTACTTCCATAATTATACTTCTTGTATTTTATTTTAAAATATCACTTTGATGTATTTTTTCTTACTTCTCTAAGAATACATCACAAAATTCAAAAAAGTATGTGGCCCAGTGTATAAAAATCAAATTTATTTTATTAAAGATATCTAAACATATTTTTCAAATATCTGTAATCAGAATATTGTGAGAGCAATACTTTTGTTGCAGAGCTGAACAATAGATTGTTTTCAGATTAATAAGATACAAACACTGGAGGATAATTTCTACTTCCTCTCTTATAGGTCTGTCTTCCTATAATCTCTTGAGGAACTTCTACTAATGCACACTTTTGTTGTTAGAAAGATTTAACCATTTGTAGTTGGAAAGATTCATTCAACCCTTTTCTTCTTTTCATACATATATTACTATCTTCCTTTCAGTTGGCCCTCACATTGGGCGGTACTGTGGACAAAATACTCCCGGTCGTGTCCTCTCATCAACTGGCATTCTGTCTATGGTTTTCTATACCGACAGTGCAATAGCAAAAGAAGGTTTCTCTGCAAACTATACTGTGGTCCACAACAATGTTCCAGAAGGTGAGTGTTTTAGTCATCCTTCAGAGTGCTGCATAAAACATTCTCTGTATCTTCTCTCCTGCTAAGTGCTGTATGAAACACATGGAAACCATAGCTAAATAAGACCTGTGTCCTTTTGCCTGCACAACTCCTCTCATTTTCAGTGTCAAGAGACATATCCACTCCTATAAGTTCCTGTAAAAAGTCATTAAGTTATAGAATTCCCCTACCTTTGGTGAAACTGAGAACATTAAATTTAAACAATGAAATCCAACCTAGATATCAATTGTCCAAGACTTCATAAATTCTAATTATTTATGTATATGGTTTATTCTTCAAGTATACTGCAACCTGTATTTGGCATCTCATTGCTGCAAAACACTGAGGAGGAATATCAGTGAGATCAGCTCATTTATTTTTTTTCATTTATAGAATATGAATACAGGAATATGAAGATATGTTAGGCATTAAGTTGGAGACTTGAGCATTCTGATACGAGTAATTTGCTCCACCGCTTAACTAATTTTTAAACATTAGCTAAACCTATACTGCTCATAACCCAGTGGGTCATTACTTCAGAGATATTTTCTACCTAAACAGAGAAACCGAATGACCATGAATGGGGGGGAAACAAAAAAACAATGGAAATGGGAGAAACTTCCAATTTCCTGCTAGCTTTCTTTTGACTTTCCTTGTAGAAAGCTTGCAAGGAGTTTTGGAAGTGTCAGTCACATGACTGCAGATAATCGCGACAGTGCTGTAGTTCTGAAGAGTCACAACTTTGCAAAATTTCAATTCTAGGGGAATCATAAGACCCATATTTTGTATACATTCTGTAAGTTAGTCATTTGAGGTATGTTGATTCAAAAACTATCGCACTATGATGCACAATTTCATCCAATGAAGGTTATACAATCAACAGACACAAGAGCTTTTGTAATATATAAATTTCTCACAAGCCTGTTTTTTTCAGTTTTCATCAATTAAAAATAAGAATATGTATTATTTATGTAAGCACAGAACACTTTTCAACTTAAATCTGATTACTGAAACAAATATGATCATTTAAAGGCTAAGATAAGGTAGATAGGTGTACAATAAGTAGATAGAATTGGTATAGAGATGCTACTCTCTTATTTAGTAACAATTAAAATTAAATATCTTCAGAAAGTAAAAACCATCAAAATCTCATTCCATTCGTAGCCCAGCTGAAGACAATGCAACTAAAAACACGAAGCCATGAATAATATTAAAATAACAACAAAAAGCTGAGTTTCAGAGGGCAACGGCATTTTTGACTATTTTCATTCTCCATGTAGGAGAACTTGGCTCTAAGTAATTTCAAGATGCAGCTAAAGGTCAGAGTCAGAAAAAAAGGGAGGAATGATCAGGAAAAAAGAGGAGTAGTGGGACCTAAATTTAGATGTCAATGTCAAGGGGAAAAAAACAACCTCGCTATAGAAGGAATCCCTCCATAGCAAGGCTAGAAATTACTACTCATAATAAAGAAGAATATTTGTAGGTCACAGTTGGAATGAGGGGCCCTTAGTTGTTTTCTTGTAGACATTTAATTATCCAAACCAGTTACATCCTGAAATGTCTCCAAGAAAACAGCTAAGTTCAGAGAGCACCAAGGACTTCTAATTACCACTCTGAATGGAAAGTTATTCTACTTCAAAATTTGGGAATCTCTTAACAAGGACAAGTGCTCTGTTGTCTTTTAAGAATTATGAATCCCATCTATTGCCAAGTGATCTGCACCTCCTCCCCCATCATTCACTTGATTTATTTTCTAAGCAAAATAATGTTTAAAAATTGTTTATTCTCTGTTTTATGGAGATAATCCTTCAGTTAATAAGCTTGAGGGCTCTTGATATGAAGCAGCTTTATAGGAGATTCCACTTTAAGTTTCAGAGCTCTTAATTGCACATTGCAATTGCAGCAGACAATATCTAAAATACATTTTCCATTTTCAAAGTAGCAACTCTTATCTATATAAAATCCTGGTACAATGAGTTATAATTTTTCTCCTTGAATTTATAAAAATATTTCCTTCAATGGGGAAACTTGCTGACCAACCAGATCCAATTTGATCTTTTCTAATAAAATTTCACACATGATTTAAATTACAATGAAGACTAATTATATTCATCCCTTCGTTTGTCCTTTCTTATGTTATTATATTATTTATTGCTACACAAATGTTTTCTTTGTATGAATTTAATGCTTGTTATAAGGACTAGAAGGGGGGGTAAAGTGTATGTAAAGAGCAGATAGACAGGTTGTAATGCAAAAAAAATAATCAAAATACCAATTACAGACAATTATTCAAGGTGAATTGGTGTACCTTAAATAAGCTAATTTACTGTGGATCCATTGCTTCTGTGAAATTGAAATTTGGCAAAGTTGTAGTTTCTTCAGCATGGCCCACAGTTGTTCTACTACCACCACAATCAGCCACGGTCATATGATTGTCATTGCCAATGACGATTTGCCAGCTTTCCACAAGGAAAGTCAATGGAGAAGCAAGCAGGAAGTTGAAACTTGCTCCTACTTCCACTTTTCGTTGCCCTCTTATAGTCATTCTGTTTCTCCGTTTAAGTAAGGTAATGTCTCTGAAGTGATCCCCCAGCAGGTCATGGATTGTCTAGCATAATCCTAAAAGCTGAAATCAGAACTATCTTTATATTGCAGCAGTTTCTTATTTATGAAGCAACATAATAATACTTAAGTATTCCTTTCTAAAAAGGATGCAATAAGAATATCAATGCTTGTTTTTTTGCTCAGACTTCCAGTGCAGGGAACCACTTGGCATGGAATCTGGTGAAATTCATTCTGACCAGATTACTGCCTCTTCCCAATATAACCCCCAGTGGTCATCTGAAAGGTCCCGTTTAAATTATCCTGAAAATGGATGGACACCTGAAGTTGATTCTACTAGAGAATGGATACAGGTAAGAAAAATCAAACCATGTTTATAAAAGGTATTCAAATTTGTTTGCAGATTTTCAAGGATAACAAAATTTTCCAGAATGTTGTGTTTTTTTTCCCTTTTCTTTTTAAAAACAATAGGGGGGGGGGAATCTATAGAAAATATAGATTCTTTGTCTGAATGTCTTCACTCTTTGCATCCCCTATTAGGTTTATATCACAAATAAACTAATTCTCAAAGGTATAGAGGGAAAATAAAGAAAAGGTCAAGAAGACCCATTCTTTTCCTTCCTGGATTTTTTTTCAGTCTTCTAGGCACAAATATCAGATTTTGTTTTAATGGGAAAAGTCAATATTAGTTTAACAGGCACTTAAAGTGAAATGGTCTGATGAAACAGGCTCGGTGATGAATGATACTCAAGAGTTGCTTAGGATATGGATATACAACTGAACATTTTACTTGTGACCTATGCTTTTCACAAAATTAGACCAAAGTTGAAATTGTATATACTTTTTTTAATACTAGAATATTAGACTTGGGTCCATGACACAGAAGTAGCGCCAAGGAGGAGCTGCTTTTGTAAATTTAAAAATGAAGCATGAAATGGAAGACTAGAGCCCTATTCATCAGAGGTGAAAGAAAAAGTCAAGAAATAGTTATTAAGCTGGTGCAAAGTAACCTACATTCAGCTTGGCAAAAACATTTGCACTCTGAAAGACATGTGGTTAGCTTTGTCAAGGCAAAAAGACAATGCATTCTTTTCTTAATGAAACTATGCACTTTGCCTTAAGTTAATGTGGGTCATTGCTGTGAGAAAAAACTTCTTTCTGCCTTTTCTGCCAGACCTTTCAAAAACATTTTCCTACCCGAGCTACTTTGGTAATATTATAGGATTCATTCTGCATCATGGAAAAAAAATGGGTCATGAACCCAAACATTCTAAATTAAAGAACCTCAACATGTGCTATAGGATTGCCCCATAGTTCACAGAAAATGTCCAGCCAAGAAAAACCTTTGGCAGTTTTAGAAAACTAGCAGAGTTTGCAGTCTGTGAAAAGTCCCAAAGTGCTTGCTAAAGCCATCTAGAAACATTTTGGATGGAACCATGGAATTTTTTTCCCCTAGAGTGTCCACCACTGAAGAGTTTTCTCAGTCTCCTGTAATGCAAGGTCTGTAGGAGAAAGCTGGAGGGAGTTCTAAAACAAAGCAGCACAAAGCAACACAGTTGGTTTGATTTCATCTAAAAATGGTAGCTCACAATGTATCATAAAGAAACTTCTGAAGGGTACTTTACATGACATCATGGGATCATATCGCTTACTGTACTTTTCGGAGTATAAGATGTACCCGAGTATAAGACATACCAAGTTTTTGACGAGGCAAATTTTTAAAAAACGTTTTTGCACTCTGCAGACCTCCCAAAAACGACCCATTGTTTTATCAAAAAAAAGGGCATGCATAGCACTTAAGAGGCTTTTAGAATGCTGCTGGGGGTTCATTTTTCGTTCATTTCTGCTCTCCTCCTAAAAGCACAGCCATTTTTTTGTAAAGGGGATGGGTTTTCAGGAGGCAAAAGTGCTGTATTCAGTGTATAAGATGCACCTAGTTTTTCACCCTTTTTTTTGAGGGGCAAGGGTGCACCTTATACTCCGAAAAATATAATAGTTTCTACAATCTGTCCTGCATTATTTGGTGCACACCTCAGTGCATATGTGTTACCTTCCTGCAAGAGGTGCATTCGTTGCCGATTGCTTCCAGGTACCATTCAAGGTGCTGGTTGTCACTTTTAAAGCTCTTAACGGCTTGGGATCAGGTTATCTGAAGGTTATCAGGTTATCGTCTCTTGCCAGTCACATCCATCTGTGTTCTGACCCAGCTCCCCAAACATAACAAACCCTCTATAGTTGAAGCAATGATTCCTTTATTAGGAGTTCCAACAGGCCCAGCCAAAAGTTTCTCTTTCACCACAGGCTAACAAGTCTGTCTGGCAAAAAGATGAATAGTTGTCTGCCACACCTATTCATCTCTGCCCCCTGCCTTTTATGCCCAGAGATAGGATAGGGCTGCACTAGCAGCGGTAGCTCTTCCTTCCCAAGGATCAACCCATAGATTTCCACTTCTCTCCTCTCCTCTGCCTTCTGCACATCTGCAGGACAGGCACTGGACCCAGCTGTTCCTCCTCTTCCTCATCAGCCACCGACAGGCATGAGGACTGTTGACTCTCCATCTGAGGGCTGACAGACGGCCCAGGCTCTGCCTCTGTCTTTCTGCCAGCCCCCTCTTCCTCCCTTGGAGCTCTGAGGTTGCCTTGACCCTGACTCCCATATCTCCTCCTCATTTGATTTGGCTGCTGGGTGCCAACAGGCTACAACAATCTGACTCACTAGAGTGGAGAGGCAAGGAATCTTGAGGGTCCTATCCCCTAAGGAGGTACATATGGCAGGACCCAGAAGAAGGGACTTTTCTGTGGTGGGTGCCTCCCTCTGGAACAACATCCTTCTAAAAATTAGACTAGCTCCTAATCTGACACTCTTTCAGAAGGCCTTCAAGACACGGTTCTGCTAGTGGGTCTGGGGAACCCAGGGTGGGATGGAACCCATTAAATGGCTGGTATTAGTCTGTGTTGTCGCTGGAGTGTGTGAGGGGTTGTTATTATTTTTGTTGTTGTTGTTTCTTTTATATTCTATTTTTACTTCCTGTAAGCCTCCTTCACTCGCCAGGAGTGAGTAGGCGGCAATATAAATTTTCCAAATAAATAAATAAGGGTGGAAGTGCCACAGGGGTATTGATGAAGTTCTGGGAGACTCAGACTAGGTCATACATGAGTTGCAACAGGGGAATTCAGTGATGTGGAGCAAGTTCAGATAGCTCAGATAATGAGGACACATATAAATGAAAGGAAGCAGGGGAAATAAGGCATGGAATGAGCACATTTGTGTGTGTGAGCACTAGAAGGCTGAGAAAGAGGTTATAGGATGCATGTGAGTGAGGCATGTGACAGGTGAGGGAGACTTACCCAAACAACTTGCATCCCTCTCCTTCTAATTTTTTTTACAACTAAAAATGCAAAAACTTTCTTTTAATCATTTATGGCAATAAAAAAAACTATTTGTGTAATTGCTGTAGAGCTGAATCAAAGTAATGCTGCTAAAGCACCAGGTCTTTGTTTTTAAGAGTCTGATCAGAATTCATAGGCTTAATTAACAGAATATTTTTTGTCTTGCAGTGTTTAATTAGAACTTTCACTTTCCTCTTTAACTGTTATCCAAATTCATCTGAAGACAATAGGTACAAAGCAAAAACTTTCACATTTCTTAGAATACTAATGTAGTGGTGAAAACTTCCAGTAGTTAAAAAAAATGGGCCAATATTCGTGTTTTTATTGTTTTCCATAGGAAATACCTAACTGACATATAGGAATAATGCATCATTAGTCATCAATAAGAACATTCATATCCAATGTTTCCTTTGAGATTAGCTGTCTGCAAGAAAGCTTACAAACTTTTTTGAGTAGTTATCAGCATGTGGAAGAAAGACAGAGGAAATCTTTCATTCTTCAACTTTTAATCCACAATGTGACTCTCAAATGTCCAGCTTTTGAGACCTCAACACAGCCTGAGCAGTTAAAAACCAGTTAATGCCAAGAAGTAAGCATATTCCCACTTTGGTGTGGCAAACCAAAATCACTTAATTCTGACTCCTAACAAATAAATAACAGGAAAATTCAACAAATATAGCCTGGAAAAAAATGAAATGCACTATTTATTGCCAATCATCTCCACAGATTTGCATTTGTATTATCTTTTCATCCAACTTTTTCAAGAGAAAAAAAATACATTCCCAAAAAAAAACCCCACTATTATTCATCACCTTGATTGCTTAGTTTTAGGTTTTTAAATAAAAAAAATCTTGGTGGGCTGTCAATTTTCCCTCATAAACTTATGAAAGAGCTTCAGATGGAGCAATGTTGGAAGATTTTATTGAGTTAGGGATGCTGGATCTACTAACAGTTGCTCTCCCTCCAGGTGGGAGATGGAAGGGGGGCATGGGTATTTCCAGAGGTGGTATTCAGCCGGTTGTTACCGGTTCTGGCAAACCAGTAGCAGAACTTTTGAGTAGTTCGGAGAACCAGCAAATATCACCTATGATTGGCCCCACTCCCATCTATTCACTGCCTCCCAAGTCCCAGCTGATCAGAGTCCCAGCTGATCAGATGGGTCTTTTTTTGTTGCCCTACACAGAACAGAGTTGGAAAGCAGGTTAGTGGGGTGGGGACTGAATGGAGATTTTACAGTATCCTTCCCCCAGGAGTGGGGTGGAAATGGAGATTTTACAGTATCCTTTCCTTGGATTGAGGAGGGAATGGGAATTTTGCAATATCATTCCCCTGTCATGCCCACCAAGCCATGCCATGCCCACAGAACTGGTAGTAAAAAAAAATTGAATCACACCACTGGCTATTTCATAGTTAACTTGTTACTGTTTGTTATTTCTTACCCTGGTTGGCCAGTTTGTGGAAATGTTTGTGGATGGAGAATAGCTGTTGGCCTGGGATTGGAAGGCAGAAGCCTTCTTGATACCTGAACTCCATTTTATAAGAGGTAGATTTTGCTTGTGCGTAGAAGGAATGTATGACAGGGAAGTTAAAAACAAGCAATAACATGACAGTAGTGATGGTTAAGGAAGGAGCAGCATGGTGTCTTAGTGGTGAAGATGCTCCCCTCCCCCTCAGAAGGCTGAGAATTTAATACTAGATAGCAGCAGATATTTCTCTTTCAGTACACAAAGAAAAAAATATCTGGTACAAACTCTGCATAGGTGCCAGGAAGGGCATCTGGCCACTAAATGTTCAGCTCTATTTAATTGCTCTGATTCTAGCCCAATTAAGGAACTACAGGATTGCAAAAAGAAAAAAAAAGTGATGGTTAAGGGAGCTGTGCCGGGAACTGGAAGTGGGAGAGGCTGTTTGTGTGGCTTCAGTGTTTAGTAAAGGTTTTGCACTCCAGCTAAGTGTATTCAACC